AATTAACCGGGTGTGGTGGCTGGCGCCTGTAATCCCAGCTACTTGGGAGGTCGAGGCAGGAGAATTGCTTGAACCCGGGAAGCAGAGATTGCAGTGAGCTGAGATAGCACCACTGCACTCCAGCCTGGGTGACAGAGTGACATTCTGTCTCAAAAAAAAGATGCAAAACATACAAGAAAAAATAGTCAAAGGACACAAAGTACCTCAAAAAAGAAACACAAATGGTCATGAACACAGGAGACATCTGCCTCAACAGGAATAAAACAGAAATTCACAAGTTTGTTTTTGGAGCATCAAAACACTCTCAGGCAGGCAAGAGCATTGGGAAAGGTAAATTCCTGGCCCCCCAGGACAGATCCGCAGCCCTCTGAAAACATGCACACCCTTGAACACACACCGCCCCTGGCGCTCAGCTTAAAAGACATAAATGGACAAGCAGAGAAAGCTATGTGGAAAAGAGGGGCTACAACAGCGAACCTCAGAAACTCCCAAGTGGCCCAGTCCAGGCCGCATCTGTCCACACCATAGTGACTTCAGGCCACACCCAGCAGATCCAAATGCCCAGCAGAGGAGGGCAGCGCCCAGCAGTCACAACCCACTCACCCCCTGGGCCAGCTGCCTCCTAAGCACCTGTTTCCAACTGTGCACTTACAATGTGCTCCTTGGCCAAGCGTCCAAGGCTGCTGAGGGAGGCAGTGACAAGGCAAAGGCACCCACCATAAGCCCCTATGTGTTCACGCTGCAATTCTGCACAAAGCATTGCTTATGTCTATAAGGTCTTACCAAGGGTTTCCGCCAGCCTGCTTCTCCAGTAACAACCTCTTCTCATCTTCGGAAAACTGTAAGTCCAGTTCAAAGGAGTTCGAGTCCAAATCATGGATGTACTGCTCTATGTTGCTGCCTGACCTCTGGGGCAGGCCCACGTCCGAGGCTGACAAGGAGTGTGAGGAGGAGGACAAGGACAACTGCATGCAGCCAAACTGGCTCAGGAGATTGTCATACTGCAGAGAAGAAGGAAAAGTGAGAACCACACCTTCACTTGCTTCTACAGTCCTAAAACCCCAGCCCCTCCTGGCACTGCCGCTGTCAGGCCTTGGGAGCTCACACACAGCAAGGTGCAAGGCGACAGGGTGGGCAGCCCTGATTCTCCTCCGTGGGACACCTGGCCACAGAACCGAGGCCTCACTGGATCTTGCCTGGTCGGGCTCCTCTTCCCAAGGGAATCAGGGTCACAGAAGGGCGAAGCCTCAGATTTCCTCTCCAGGAAGAGGGAACCTGGGCCCTTACCCTGCGGGCCCCGTGAATGCCAGTGCTGCCCCCGGAGGTGGGCGCTGGGATGCCTGCTGGGAAGAGAAGGAGCCCAAGGAGGCTTGGCAGCAGATCCATCGCACAGGCTGGCAGGCAGGGCCTCCGCGCAAGACCTCGTTGGGCCCCAGAGGTCTCAGGGGTCTGAGTCTGTAACAGATGCTACATACTGTGATTTGACTAAACACATTCAACTATTTAAAAGACATTCCTGTTAATCTCAGCAAAGATAAACTGAATTTACGGTAGACAACACTGCCTGTTTCTCTGGGAAAATGACAAACTAGTGTCGACAGTGGAAACTCACTCACTCATAAACGTGCCAAGCAGACAGAGCCTGCGCACTAACACGCTCCTGGGGCTGCCAAGGCTAGAGAACCCCTGGGTGGGGGCAGCCACATCCACGGCTGCAGGCCCCACATCTGAGCTCTGCTGAGGCCAACAACAAGGGGAAAGAAAAGGTGCCACCAGCAACGGCACCATCAGCAATGGCTGGGATAAGAGTACAGCATGCTCTTCCACGTCCTCTGTGCCTTCAGACGCAGGCCCTGGCTGCTGCCCCACACAACCCTCCACACACACAGCGTCCCCCATGTGCTCGCCCTCCTACAGCTGCACAACAGCCCCGCCCCACAGCCCTGAAGCCTCTCACCCAGCTGGGCTGGAGCGAGGAGCTCGCCAATGGGCAGGGTGGAAACACCCAGTGCTGCCGGCCCCTCCACAGGGCGTGGGCCTGCCCAGCCTGCTCGTCTCCAACACTGTCCAATGGCAACACCGCCCCAGCACTTGCAGGACCTCAGGAGAGCAGGAGCCAACGAAGCACCTGCTCTCCTCCTGCCTTGACCCAAGGGTGGGTACCATGGCCAACCTCCCTGCTGAAGGGGACGCCCAGTGCCCACTCCCCATGAAGGAGGGGGTGCAGCCCCGCAGGGAGGGAGGAGGTACAGCCCTGAAGGCTCCTTCCATGCTTGACGCCATTTGCCAAGACTCACTCACTGTCCCCATATGAGATCTGACCTGGGAGCTCCCCGCCTGGACCCACTCCAAGGCTTTCAAACCACACAGCTGTTCAGAGCTAAGGATGGGCCATCTAACAGTCGGCTGCCAGCACACGGAGCCGGACTTCACAGACAGCAACAGAACCCACGTATCAAGCAGCCCTAGCTCTCAGTAGGCCCAGGCACAGAGGCCTGCACAGGTACGCAACGTGTGCAAGCACACCCACCCCCACACTAAGAGCAGCTCTCCAGGCACTGAGACTGCAGACAACTAAAGCCTGTGCTGCTCCTTCAGAGCCCAGCTACCACCCTGGGAGGAACGGAGGACAGAGCCCACGGGATAACGGCCACCAGCCAGTCCCGAGCACAACCTCTGCAGCAACAGCAGGCCCAGCAGGGAGAGCACTGCAGCCCGGTGGCACCCGCCAGCCGTGACCAAAGACCATGTAGGAGCAGCTGGTGGCACAGAGGGTGGGGGTGAGGGCCTTGGGGGGCACAGAGGGTGGAGGTGAGGGCCTCAGCAGGGGGCTAGGGCCTCGGGGCTCCCAGCCCTCTGCATACATGAAAGCTACAAGTGGCCACGTCAGGCAGCACAGACTGCCTCCCAGGCCTGGCTCCCCTAGACTTTGGGCTCAAAGGATGTCGGGAGGATGAGAGGCGTTACGGGGCATTGGGAAACTTCATCTCCAGGAGGGGACACTAGCAGAAGTTTAGCTGTGGATGACTTTTAGATAAAATCTAGAATTCCCAGCTAGGTGCAGTAACTCATGCCTAAGACCCCGGCAGTTTTGGAGGCCGAGGCGGGTAGATCACTTGAGGTCAGGAGATTGACACCAGCCTGGCCAACATGGCGAAACCCTGTCTCTACTAAAAATACAAAAATTAGCCAGGCATGGTGGCACACACCTGCAGTTCCCACTACTTGGGAGGGTGAGACAGGAGAATCGCTTGAACCCAGAGCGGCAGAGGTGGCAGTGAGCTGAGATCGCGCCACTGCACTCCAGCCTGAGCGACAGACCAAGACCCTGTCTCAAAACAAATAAATAAATAAAATCTAGACTTCTTCATTCATGGAAAGTGGAACTCCGTACATGGTGCCAGTTAGAATAAGCCACAGTGACAGAAGTCAAACCAGAAAAATGGATCTCATGATAACAACACTTAAGTATGAGGGGTCATGGTGGAGGTGGCAAGAGGAACTCAGAGGAAACAAGGTTGAAAGTAGGCGACATGCCCGCCTCTCACAACACCCTCGGTCCCTTGGGCATATGGTCCATTTTCTCTACAAGAAGCTTAAAGAGCAAAGTGTGCTGAAGACCCCATGGCCGTGGTCAAGTTGGGAGACCAGCAGCCTCAGAGCCGACCCAGCACTGATGCAGACGGCGCCAGTGTCTCTGCCAACGCCACGTCCCAAAAGTTTAAGCACGTGACACTCGGGGTTTCTGTGGAAAGACAGGCAGTGTTCTGGAACATCTTGGACGCACAGCTGTACAAGCACCAAGCCAAGCGCAGATGCGACAGGCCGGGCAGGAGGTCCCGTACCTGGGACCCCAGGGCCAGTGCCGGGGTGCTCAGTATCCGGTTCTAGCAGCACCCTCTGGGTGGAAACTCACTAGACTGCCCCCAGCCATGGAAATGAGGAAAACACGAGCCACCCAGCACCTCACTCGCCACTGCCTCATGGCAGCAAAGACTACAGCCACCAACAGGCCTGCTGCCGTGGCACAGACACCCTCCCCTTTCGCCTGCAAATCACACGTGGGTCTGGCGCACAGGCATGGAGCCCAGTGCACAGAGGACCCAGTGCCACCCACCTCACCCGCCATCCTGGCCAGCTTACATTGCCATAGCAGTCCTCGTCGTCTTCCGACATGGCCGGCAGGTAAGCGGTGAGCTTCGGAGGCGTCTGCTGGTGCAGGTTCTCCCACGTGACAGACTCGAAGAATGGGTGTGCTTTAAGAGGTCCGTACCCTTCCATTTCCTCACAGCCTAACCGCTTTGTGGCATCTAAAACCTTAAGTAACAATCAAGACTAGTCACTGCCAGGGTGAAAACGTGATTCTGACCAAAGAAACCCAAACCTGGTGGCCAAGCATGGTGGCTCACGCCTCGAATCCCAGCACTTTGGGAGGCTGAGGCAGGCGGATCACCTGAGGTCAGGAGTTTGAGACCAGCCTAGCCAACATGGTGACAACCCGTCTCTACTAAAAATATAAAAATCAGCTGGGTGTGGTGGCGCGCACCTATAATCCCAGCCGCTCCGGAGGCTGAGGCAGGAGAATCGCTGGAACCCGGGAGGCAGAATTTGCAGTGAGCTAAGATCGTACCGTTGCACTCCTGCCTGTGTGACAAGAGCAAAACTCCATTTCCAAAAAAAATTAATTTATCTCATCTCATTATAAGTCCCTTTCTTTTTTTTTTGAGACGGAGTCTGCTCTGTCGCTCGGGCTGGAGTGCAGTGGCGCAATCTCGGCTCACTGCAAGCTCTGCCTCCCGGGTTCACACCATTCTCCTGCCTCAGCCTCCCGAGTAGCTGGGACTACAGGCGCATGCCACCACTCCCAGCTAATTTTTCGTATTTTTAGTACAGACGGGGTTTCACTGTGTTGGACAGGATGGTCTTGATCTCCTGACCTTGTGATCTGCCTGCCTCAGCCTCCCAAAGTGTTAGGATTACAGGCGTGAGCCACCGCGCCCGGCCTATAAGTCCCTTTCAATTTCCACGTGCCTAATTCTTGATAGGAAACTACTGTAGCGGGAATAATAAAAGGAACTAAAATTAAAAAAAAAAAAGGAAATAACTGTACCATTGAGCATTTGCTCATCAACGCTGCACAGCATGTTAAGTTACTGGTGCTGGAGCGTCCAGGATTATGACAGCGCAAGTGGCTGCAGACCCTAGTTCGTGACATCTGTACATTTCAGCTTTAGAGTCAGCTACATGAAAATTTTAAAGACCAGCCCAGGTAAAACAGAGAAGAGAGGTTAGTCTGGGAAAGGTACATCAGTTTATATTCTAGAAACAGAAGTTTTCTGACCTTCCTGTGCCTTTGGCCCTGGACATCCCTCCTCACCACGACTCTGGGAGCGGGGTCAGTCTTGCCCCTGCAGGTGGCACCAGGATCGCTAGGCTCCACAGCCACTGGCTTCTCCCAACCTGTCTCACCTCTTTCCCCTGGGGCTGAGGTGTGGGATTCATCAGTCCCTGGAGGAGACAGCTCTGCAGCCTTCCAGGGTCCCAGCAACACCCACTCCACAACCGCAGGAGTGTGCTGGTCCCAGTGATGATTCGCTCTCTTTGCTAATTACTCAATTTTTCTTATTTTAGGATTTTTAACTATACACTGTAAAAGAATCCTTGCTGTTGTTCATTGTATTTTGAGACTGAGATTCCTTTCCACCTGTGCGAGAAAAGGAGTCGAGCCTTAAGAGGCAGCGCAGGATCCCAGGGCCTGCCTCCCCATCCAGTTGCTCTGTGGGGGATGGAGGGGGCAGCAGGGGAACAGTACCCAGTACTCTCCAGCAGATACTGAGAAGTGAAAATAAGTACTCAAAAGGTTTGGGTTTTTTTTTTTTTTTTTTTTTTTTTTTTTTTTGAGACAGTCTTGCTTTGTCGCCCAGGCTGGAGTGCAGTGGCGTGATCTCAACTCACTGCAACCTCTGCCTCCCGGGTTCACGCCATTCTCCTGCCTCAGCCTCCCAAAGTGCTGGGGTTACAGGCGTGAGCCACTGCGCCTGGCGACATGAGATGTAATTATCTATGCTCACTATTAACCCTAAAAACACCATTTTTTGTGAACACAGGAACCTCCAGGAAAGCCACTCAGAGAGCAGTTTCAGACGACTCAGGGTGTCCCAGATCCCCTTTCCAAAAGGAAATTCACAATATTTACCAAAAGTTTCTCCACGAGGTCTCTTGCCTTAGGGAAGAATTTTTCTGGAAAGTCATATTCCAACTTAATGATCTTCTGAAATATAAGATACTCATTTCTGTAAAAAATTTAAAAAAAAAAGTCATCCTAGGCAGGATCCCAGAAGCCTCCACAGGCAGGGATGAGCGCCCCGGCCTCGCAGCACTGCAAACACACCCCGGCCCTGCATGCCAAGTGCCCCCACCTGGGCACGGCACTAAGTGCTGCCCTCCCCCACCCACCTCGATGCCGGAGGGACTGCCGGCCGGTGGGGTGCACCCCAACAGGCTCCAAGGCCCAGGAAACGCTGTCTCCTTACCCAGCTCGGAATGGTGGGAGTCCTGCCACAAGCTGGTATATTATGCATCCAAGAGCCCAAAGGTCTGAACTTTAAGGTAAGGGGAAAACAAAGGAAAAAAGACATGTGTAAAATATAGGTGACAAGGCCAGCTCAATTTCCACTCTGTCCACATGGCCCCAGTTTCACCTCTAATGCAATTCTGTCCTTTAAGACCAGTGAGGTGTGAGGGTGGGGAACCCGCCCTCTGGAGAAGCCTCCCAGCGGCCTGGGCCCAGAGGGTCTGCATGCGGCAGGCACCGGCGGTCACTCAGCTGTCCCCAAAGCTTCGCCATTTCCAACAGGGCTTACTAACGTCCACACACACCTGTCATCCTGAAGCAGAGCAGAGCTCACTCCTGGCACCACGTGGCTACAGACCAGGCAGGGGGCAGGATGGGACAGAATGGGGCTGACCCTGTTCCAGTAAGACAACCAAGAAAGCTGAAGGAAGCACCCTCCCATCAGTGCCGGTGGAGGGCTTGCCAGGGACAGGAAAGTGCAGCACAGGCGAAATGAATGACCGTAACATTCACACTTGACTTTCTTTAGTGTTTAGTTAAAATGGGGAGCAACAAAAGAAAACAGGCAGCAGAGCCTCCACCTTTCAGTGTGGAAGCAGCAGAGAGAAGAGGGGTGCTGGGGGCAGGGCTGTGCCTGGACCTTCACGAGGTCCTCTCCAGAGCATGGAATTCAAGCAGAAAGGGATTGTGGGGTAGTTTTTCACCTCTGTGAATTATCGAATGTTTTATCAGAAACAATTACTTTGCAATTTATATTTTTTAAATACAATACAAAAATAAAAGGGGAAGCCAGTATTGCACTTCCGGAAAGCACGTGTACCAAGGGTGTATCAAATAAACGTTCAGTTAGACCAAGTCATGCCACTTCCTGAAATCCAAACCGAGGAATTCAGGGCGGCCCCTCACTCAGTCCAGCAGACCCTGTCTTGCCCACTACAGGGACAACTAGAGGGACACCCTCACCCCGACCCCAGGCAGAGACCTCCTCTGCCCGTGCAGGTTGGGTGGCGGCTCAGAAACACGCCAGTGTGTGAATGAATGGAAACCTCTTCAACGCACGACAGCAGAGATAGGTCCGTGAACCACAGTCTTCATGTGACAGAAAACCATACACTGATAAAGACACACACCAGTCATTCAAATGACAGGGGGAAGCGCCCATTACATAATCACGTAGGGCTCAAAACCACCTGCCCAATGTGACTCAAATGGCATAAAAGCCACTTAAACAACTATAAAATGCATAGAAAAAATTGACTGAAAAGCCATACACCTGTACGCCCAATTATTATCTGTGACTATAAGTGGGTCTAGAGACTTATTTTCTAAGAACTCTTCATAATTAATTTCTCTTTTTCTTTCTTTCTTTTTTTTGTTTTTGAGACACGGTCTTACTCTGTCACCTAGGCTGGAATGCAGTGCCGCAATCTCAGCTCACTGGCACCTCTGCCTCCGCCTCAGTCTCCTGAGTATCAGGGTCTACAGGCGCTCACCATCAGGCCCGGCTAATTTTTCTTATATTTAGTAGAGAGACGGTCTCGCCATGTTGGCCATGCTGGTCTCGAACTCCTGGCCTCAAGCGATGTGTCATCCTCAACCTCCCAAAGTAATGGGATTACAGACATGAGCCACCACGCCCGGCCTCTTTCAAATTCTTCTTTTTTTTATTTTTTTTTGAGACCAAGTCACGCTGTTTCCCAGACTGGAGTGCAGTGGCACGATCTCCGCTGACTACAAGCTCCACCTCTCAGGTTCACGCCATTCTCCTGCCTCAGCCTCCCGAGTAGCTGGTACTACTGGCTCCCGCCACCACGCGCTGCTACTTTTTTGTATCTTTAGTAGAGATGGGTTTTCACCGTGTTAGCCAGGATGGTCTCGATCTCCTGACCTTGTGATCCCCCCGCCTTGGCCTCCCAAAGTGCTGGGATCACAGGCGTGAGCCACCGTGCCGAGCCTCAACTCTTTATAATAAACATTCCTAACAATGTTTAATATCACATGATTAAAAAATTCAAAAACAGAAAAAGAGATGCAGAAATGCCTTCCTCATAATCCTATTCCCTCACCCGATAGACAACTACCATCATCCGTGCAGTGTCTATCCCTCCAGAGAACCTGAACGCGCAAATGAGAAAACGTGAATACACATTCCTCCTTTTTCCCACAGGGCAGGATCCCATGTGTATATTTGTAGAGCTTGGAGATCTTTCTGGATCAACGCTAAAGTGGCCTTCCACCCTGAAGGTAAAATCTACAAACAAGGAAACGCTAGCTCTTAGGTGGTGACCACACGCACTTTGAAAGCCGGGTACGTCGCGCCCCCACCTGTGGGAGGGACTGTCCTCTGCATCGCAGGATGCTGAGCAGCTCATCCTCCCCTCCCCCGCTGGGTGCCAGCCCTACCCCTGCCCCAGCTGTGACAACTAAAACTGTCCAGACAGGGCCAAGTGTTCCCAGGGGAGCAGAATCACTCCAGTTGGGAAGCTCTGACCTAAAGCAGTCTCTGGCCACGCTAAGAACTCAGTATCCGGCCGGCCGCCATGTCTCACGCCTGTAATCCCAGCACTTTGGGAAGCCGAGATGGGAGGATCACCTGAGCCCAGGAGTTCAAGACGAGACTGGGCAACACAGCAAGAACCCATCTCTATTTTAAAGAATAACTGAATAATAATAAAAAGAGAACTCAGTATCTGCTGGTTGAAAAAAGTTAAAAGAACAAAACCGAAAAAGCCTGGAGGCGGCCAGGACGCTGAGTGAGTGCTCAGAACCCTTCCACCCACCCACCACGTTTGTGCCATGGCCCCACCTCCCACAGTTTTTCCTGAAGCTGTCAAGCTCAGACATCCAGAACTGCCGTCCCCAGAATCATTCATTCTCTCAGAGTGGCTCACTTCACTCCAGGAAGGTGGCCCCTTGTAACCTGGCGGAGCAGGAGAGCGGCAGCGTGGGACTCCTGTGGTCCTGTCAACTCACGAGGGCACCAGCAGCCGAAGCTGACTCCAGCCCTCAGCAGCACTTGACTGGCCCGAGGCAGGAGGAACCCCGGCCCCACCCTGATTCCACACAACTGCTCCCTAGACTTGAAACTCCAGACTCTGATGCTGCCTCTCAGCCTGCCATCTACCTCCCAGCCACCCTACACAGCACCTCAGACTTCTCACCAACCCTTGTCATCAGCTCCCTGGACATCCTCCCCCCACACTGCCGGTGGCTCCCTGGCTGGCGCTTCTCCACTTTCCCCTCCCGTGACCCACACCGGCCCTGCAGTCTCTCTCAAAGACCCTCATGCCTGCTGGACGCCGCCACCCTCCCACACCGGCACCCTCCAGGGCCTCCCTGCGCTCTGCGGGACCCTGTCCCACTGCAGCTGGTGTGTGGCCGAGCAACCCTAAGGCCAGGCTCCCTGCCCTCCACCCCGACAGGGGGCAGCACCAAGGAAGCCTGGGCTCCGTGCACATGAGAGCCATGCTTTCCTCACTGAATAGTGTTTCCTAAAGAAAGAATTAGGCTGGGCATGGTGGCTCACGCCTGTAATTCCAGCACTTTGGAAGGCCGAGGCGGGCAGATCATAAGGTCAAGAGACTGAGACCATCCTGGCCCACATGGTGAAACCCCATCTCTACCAAAACTACAAAACTTAGCTGGACGTGGTGGCAGGCGCCTGTAGCTACTCGGGAGGCTGAGGCAGGAGAATCGCTTGAACCCGGGAGGCGGAGGTTGCAGCGAGCCGAGATGATGCCACTGCACTCCAGCCCGGAGACAGAGCGAGACTCCGTCTCAAAAAACAAAAAACAAAAACAAACACAAAAACGATTAAATCTGCAACCAGAAAGCATCAGCAAACCCAGGAAGCTTAGAATACAACATTAACGTATCACGTGTGTGTACGCCACGAAAAATACGCTTTGAAATGCGAAATGCTGATTTCTTTCAAAGTATGCTTAGCTACTTAAAGGCCACCAAATTCACTCTCTCGAATATTAATTTCTATGTTAAAGAAAAGGGAAGTACGGCTTAGATGAAAGTGGTTTTTACCTCTTACAGGCGGACTTCTCCGTGAGCAGCTCTGGAGAAACGTACTGCGCTGTTCCCACGAATGAGTTGGCCCTGGCTGCAGAGGAGAGAGAAGGTCACGCTCGGACTCACGATCTGTGACAATCCAGGGCTGCGAGGTGGGTGTCGCACATGGCGGACCATGCACCCCCAGGAGCCAGACTTGTCCAGGCCACACCGGGGCTGGCTCACGGCTCACCTGCTCAAAGACGCCTGCCTGACATCTGGACACTGGCACCCTCCACCCTGGCGCTCCCACCCGACACGCGCCTGGAGAGCGAGCTGCACACAAACGTCCAGTGCATTCTGCCGGTGGCACCCGCTCAACGGAGGGCATGAGGACACGGTCCTGGCTGGCTCACTGCAGGACCTGGGGTATCCAAACGTGCCCAGGTACACAAACAGTTGCAGGCCAGAAACAACCTCCTTTCCATCACAAACAGCTTGGGAGCTGAGGCGCTACAAAGGGAACAAGACTCAGGCCTCCAGCCCAAGGGCCTTCCTCTACAGAGGAGCTGTGACAGAGCAGAGCCACAGCACGAGCTGGCCCGGGGCCACCACGCAGCTGCTGTCCACACCGGCCCTGCCTGGGCCGGTTCTGAGTTGTCCCTTCCACCTGCCCTCCTCCGGCCAGGCTGAGAGAACCTCACAGCCTCTGCTGCGGGGACCCGTTCCCTCCAGTGAATGACTTTTTTGCGGACTTCATGACTGCCCAGGTGCGGGGGCTCACGCCTGCAGTCCCACTGCTTTGGGAGGCCAAGGCAGGAGGACTGCTCTAGGCCAGGAGCTTGAGACCAGCCTGAACAACATAGTGAGACTCCGTGTCTAGAAAGAATTTCAGGAATTAGCCAGGCATGGTGGTGCACCTCTAGTCTCAGCTACTTGGGAGGCTGAGAAAGGAGGATCGCTTGAGCCCAGGAAGCTGAGGGTGCGGTCAGCCACAATTGCGCCACTGTACTCTAGCCTAGGCAATAGAGCCAGACCCTGTCTCAAAAAATAAACAAAAAACAAAGACTTCATGGCTGCATGTGCATCCTGCCAGGACCCTCAGTGATCCTGCCAAGAACACCAAGGACATCCGCAAACACGCCCCCGCCCCCGCTGGCCTAGAGGAAAGCAAACCAAACCAAGAGCCAAAAACAAACGAAGCCATTCAGCCCTGCAATGAATCAAAGAAATGCAAATTAGAACACGACAGCCTATCACATTGGCAAAGGGGAAAAAGAATAAAAACACATAGCGCTGGCAGGGATCTGAGGGGACAGACGCCGCGCTACGGGTGGGGCTGTAAAATGGCATCGCTTCTGGGGGCAATTTTCCAATGAGCGTCAGAAGTCACAAAGATGTTTGCCTCCCTGACCCTGCAGTTCCCTCTCCATGCCGGATCTGTCCTTCAGGGTCCGGTGTGGCACAGTGACGAGGGCTGCGTCTGCCGGCAGGACGGGACGCCACTCGCTCCATCTACCTATTCAGTGTTTCTGTTCTTTACTATCATCGAGTGTTGCTTTTGTGACTTGTATTTTTTTAAATGCCATCATTAAAAAGTCTAAAAATGTGTCTTTCTCCTATGGAGAGATGTATATAATGCATAATTAAATGACTGAGGTTGTCGTGCAGCACACAGAGCCATATGTGTTTTTAAACAGCAACGCTGTGCACAGAGCAAGTCTGTGCACCAACACCCGCCCCATCTCTCAGACGAGTGCTACATAGCGAGCTGCCACGCTGGTAGGGCCCTCGTTGCTGCTACCGCTGCTGCTGTTCTCAGCTTCCTGCAGCCGGACTCTGGGCTCGGATCTCCCGGAATCCTCCCTGCCCACTCCACCCTCAGGAGCTCCACCCTCAGCTCCTCCTCGCTCCCCAAGGGTCTTCCCACACTCTCTTCTTTCCTTAGGGCTTGCCCACCCTCACCCTGCCACACCTTCCTAAAGGTGGGACTCCGAGCCTCTGGGCATACGCAAAGTCACCGCCTTGGAAAAGGACATCTGTTCTTAGTTAATCTAGAGACAAACAGCGCCGCTAGAGTGTGGAGAAGATGGCTACCCTTGGAATAATGTTCCAAATCCATAAAATACACAGGACTATAGGAGAAAGCAATTATAATTCAATACACGTATCAAATTATTGCAGTGATGGATCTGTGATGTAGTAATATGTGACCGGCATGACACAGCAGCGGGTCACGCCGCAGTAACCCGGCAGCGGTGCTCGGCACAAGTGGCATGGCGTCACTACCGTGATGTGACCCCTGCAGCATGACATGAGAATACCTGTGACTTCTGACGACAGACATTTGTTGCTGATGTTCATAATGGAAGGAAATGGTACGCTTTGCTGAAAGGTTCGTGAAAATTAGGAATTTCCTCCTATCCAGCCTCACGGATCCCCTGACTTCTATCTGTGACATCCGAGCTGAGAGCCCCAGATAGAGCGTAAGGAAACCTCAGAGACCACCTAGTTACTTCTCCCGGGAGGCTCAGAGACTGGCCAAAGCTCACGCCTCTCCAGCTGCTGGAAACTCAGGCCCAGAGACCTGCACTGGCCGCTGCTGCCCCCGCATGCCACGGGACTACCGACAGTGAGGTCTCGGCTGGGTTGTTGTCTCCACCCTCATCAAAGAAACTCCATGGACCACCCATAGTCCCCCAGATCTGCCAGTCATACTTGGAGGGGGCACTGGGGAGGGAAGACCTGAAGAAGGGATCCTGAGCTCACGAGACACCCACACTCTCTTCAAAGCCAAGGGTGCCGGCTACCATCTTGTCCACAAACCCACAAAGAAGCACAGAAGAACGCTCCACAAAATGTGACTACCCTTTGGACGACACACCAGCAAACCAAATGCGGCAACATCTGAAAAGGACTAGGCACCATGACCAAGAGGATGTATGACACAGTGCAAGACTGGTCCAAAATACAAAAAGCAATGCGTTGCATCTCATTAGAATAAAGCACTAAGGAAAACACAGGACCACCTCGATAGACATAGAAAATGCAGTTAACAAAAATTCCCCACCTCTATAGGACAAAAATATGGAATAGCCGAGGCACAGAAGGGAGGGCCCAGAGTCTGACAGAGGGCACGCACGGCCTAAGGCCAACATCGTGCTCGACGGTCAAACACTGCACGCTCTCCCTACGACCAGGGCGCCCTGTTCACCACGTCCAGTCAACACCGTACTAGAGGTCTCAGCCAGGGCAGTTAGGGAAGAAGATAAAAGGCAGCCAGGTTGAAAGGGAAGAAGTAAAACTAGCTC